CACTGTGCCAGTCATGCCTCACACCTAACGGACATACTGCTAACACACTCAGGGCATTGCTGGCCTTTGTGTCAAAAGGGTAACAGGCACGGATTGCCTCTTGCCATCAGGGCGGATTATTACACGGATGAGAGAAGCAGTTTGTTAACCGCAGCAGGACGACAACCTTCACGCCACGAGCTGTATGACAAACTGCCGATATGTCACTATTGCAAATGCTCACAGTTCACATTCAGAACTTTCTCACATTCACATTCATCCATCCTGTCATTCCACAGTTTATACAGCACCAATCTTTAGAGATTTGTTCATTCTCATGCTGCCGTCGAAGTCGTGTCAAAGTGATCATATTTACAGGATGGATACAAACACACACACAAAAATTGCTAAACTGTCAATTAAAAAATTCTAGAGGAAGTTAAGTTTTAATTGTAAATGCTGACTATATAAATTTAACAGTTTAGAAAGGAGCTTTACTGACAATACAAGGAGCCTAAGCTTTTTAAGCATTAGCCTCTGTTACACATGGAGGTGACGGTTTAAAAAAGTAATGCAGAAAACAGACTTCCATAGCTATAAATAAACTATTACATTCTAGAACTGAGACTTATATGCTAATGGCTAAATCTTTGGTCTTGCCCCAAAACACAAAGTTATAGCAAACTGAGGTGTCTAACAAAAAGTAATCATGAAAAAAGTAGAGCATGCTGGTTTCATTTAGTTAACTGTGCTGCTGTAATATACAGTTTTGGGCCAGTTTGATTGTTTTGAAACAAATGGATACTTTTATTCACATGCATCAATGCAATAAACTGATCAAAAGTGACAGTAAATACATTTATAATGTTTTAATAATCACATACACATAATTTATCTATTCATAATAAGAAGAAATATTTCATGACCACCAAATCAGATTTCAAAACTTTAAATGGTAGTGCACAATGCCATAAAAAAAAATACAGTACATTTACTACAAAGAGAGGGTTCAAGATACAAATACAGAGTTAGAATATGGTTTTCCCGGATCTGGAAGGAGAAGGGAAGGGCTTGACAATTGTAAGCTTTGAGGACACATGGGAGAGGGTGTTAAAAAATGCATTACTCAATTTAGCAGCGGAAACACGCAGTCTTAGTACTGAGTCAGCCTCCTTTGCCTTTTCCGCTCTGTAACTACTAAGTGAGCATCGCAGATTTAGTTTAGGTTGAGTAAATCTCTGTGCCAGGCCCAATGATGTTTCAGTCTTCTGAAGCACTGGTTGAATGAAGGGACAGTAGCCGCTAACTGAACCTAGTTTACTTTGAAAACTATATATACACAATCCAATCTACAGAATGAACACTTGAGGAACATAAAAATGATTGTCGATGCAAACTGTCCATAGGCACGCTTACTTATGAATTGAAAAGATGCAGAGATGCACCGATATATTCTATACTGTTTTTGTCTATTATAGAGCATTATATTCTGCAGTACAAAAAAATGTATATTCATTGTGAGATTAACAAATTAGTGTTGTAAAAAATTACTTTGAGTGTTAGATTACAGTATATCTAATCTAAATGTAAAAATAAGAGAAATGAGTATGCACAAATTAAAAAATATTCTAATTTCACCCAAACAGCTCTAAAAAGATTATATATCAAATCGAATTTTAAAAATGCTAAAAAGCATAAAATCAAGATGCAAATTTTATTTCTTTTTATATATATATATACAGTGGGTACGGAAAGTATTCAGACCCCCTTAAATTTTTCACTCTTTGTTATATTGCAGCCATTTGCTAAAATCATTTAAGTTAATTTTTTTTCCTCATTAATGTACACACAGCACCCCGTGCTGTGATTGGCCAGCTATCCAGTGCATTATGATTGGCTGAATTCCTCAAGCGTGTGACGGAAATGTTACACCGCTTAACATACTGTGATGATGCCCTGTCAGGCCGGAGCGATGATTCAAAAACATGAAAACCCATTATAAACGAGGCATTCGTTGCATCCAGTGGGGACATAATTATGGATTATAATGACTTATACTGTCTTTTTATGCGTTGCATCACGCCGTGTAAACATAAAACCATGTCTGCATTTGTGATTGGAGAAATGACAAACAACAAGTGCTACTCTACACTGCCCAAAAAACTCGCTTTATATATAAAATATAAAAACCTATAGTGAGCAGAGGCCGGGGCTACAGTGAGGAACGGCCGGCGGACTGAGTGAGCAGAGGCAGTGGGCTTGAGAATGGCGCGGCCGGCAGGTTTCGACAAAGGAGCGTCCGGAGGGCTTGTGGCAACCACATGTGACGACCCCGGGCTGGACTCCGCTTCGTCCACGGTGAAAGCCGATCCGGTGATCCACAGCGCAAAGTTGTTGTATTTCTTCAGCAACCAGCACGGATCAGCTCCAGGCATGACAAAGCCATATCGTCCTCTTTTGGAAGGCCAAACAAAGTAGTTTCGCTTTTACAACGAAACACACAGCGCCTTCACGACATGGCGGCGGCAACAACAACATTACAGCAAAAATAAAAGTTACGCCTTCTTTCTTTGTGTGAACATTTGGGCGGCGTTATGCAAATCTTCCCACATCGTGACGTAGATATGTGGGGGCATGTGAGAACGAGCCGTTTTAGGTAGGTGTGGCTGACTCTTAACTTTTATAAAGAATATCTCTTTGGATTTGAGACTTTAGTCTTTGCAACTTTACAGATCTTCTTTATGCACCAAGAGCTTGTAACACTCCAAAGAGAAAGGAAAAATTGAAATCGCATCATATGACCCCTTTAAATATAGTAGTCAACACATTTGAAGTGGATCAAAAGTTGTCCTAAGTAAAGTTAATCAAAGTTGTCCTAAGACAAGAACACATTTTGGTTTTGGCATTTCCACCTCAAATGTTGACTACTGTATATCAATATCCCCAAAATACGTCTGAAAATAAGCTTTATCAAAAATCACATCTGAAATATTTTGGGAATACGAGTTAAGATTAAGAACCACTGATCTAGATGCACAACAGAGGAATAATATAGTTTCACCAAGAGTGGAGACATCTCAATAGGTTATATGCATCCATGACCAAAGTAAGGCAGTTAATATGGGGCAGCATGAAAACCCATGCACAACACATCTTTTATAGCTGCTTTCCCTTTCAGGTACTCTGCAAACTTTCAGTCAGAGCAGATGTGTCCTGCTCCAGGTGATACATCAGCCTCATCTTAAAAAACACTGGAGGCCGCAATCCATTAAAAACATCCCTGGAGGCTCTGACCTCAACTACTGGAGAAGCTTCATTTCACGGCCCTCCATATGCATTTCAGATTTAGTCAGGCCTCCCCTTGGTTTACGGTGTTCTCTATCCCTGTTGTTTTTCTTTAAGTGGGCTCTTGATTCTGTTGCGCTGGTAGGGCCACTTGTCATGATACAGAGTGCACCTGTAATGTCCCCCGCGTCCCACAAAACACATAAATCACTTCAAAGAGCGGCTCCCCTAACATTCTCATAAACAGAGTCAGGCTCTGATTTATTTCCCTCTCCACAGACCTCTTTCTGTTCAGCAGTCCTACAACAACAAGCATCTTCCAACATCGTACCTGTGGCCTCATATCCAGCCCAAATGAACTGTCCTGTCAGATTAGTTATATATGTAAAACGGAGGGGTTAAAAGACTGAGATTTTGATTTATAATTCAAATATTCAATTCACATTGCCAACAAGGTAAAATCAACTCCAAAACAATGTCTGATATACAATGTGTTTATGGTCTTCCAACGAGGTGAAAGAGTGAAACACCCTAAATCAAGCCACCTTCTGCAACCATACTATACATAATTTTCTTATGGAGTATTCTTCTCGTTTAAAAAAAAAATGCAAATGCAGACAAGACAAGACATGACGTCTATGTAATTGTGACAATGCTGTATTGTGCATTTAATAAAATGAATATTTCCAATAAATAAAGATACCTTAAAATATATTTTCTGACCATTCTTTGATTTAAATGTTTCATACTTGGAAAAAAGATTAAATGGCCTGTTCAGCAAGAAATTCAACAACAACAACAACAAAAACTATGAAATGGAAGAAGCAACAGATCTTTTCTTCTGTACTGTGATGTACATTTGAGTGTAACAGATTATTAACAAAATAAAAAGTTCTGCAGTTCTGCTCACTGGTTGTTGACTGGATGTTTAGATGTGGGTGTTGCACTTAATAATGGAGGCAGATGAATGCAAGTTTGGGCTTAAGTGGCTTATGATTTGAGAAAATTTCTGAAACGGATTAAAAAAGAAAAAAAAAAGTTCACAATAAGATCAGTAAGATGCAGGATAGACAGAGGGAATTTCCATTTCATGCTAACTTGAAAACTTTTTTGTCAATGTACCTTGAACTAACTTTTTCAAAATACATTTTTTTTTACTAACAGTATATTTTCTTCTTTTTTTAAAGTATGAATATATAATTTTGTGGGGCTTATGCTTAAAAAAGAGAAAAAAAACAAAGTGCTAAAAATAAAGAAATAAAACTTATACAAATCAACATATTTTTTGATATTTTAATAAAACTAGACAAAACACTGAACAAGAATAGGATTATTTTGCAGAGTGACACCACAAAATATGCTAGTTGGTCAAACCACATTTGTTTATTCTATGAATGCCACAAACAGAAAACTGCAGACTGTGTGGCTGTCACAGGCATCAACTTATTTCCCGGCTTTCCCTGTTTGAAAGCCCTTCTGCCAAAAGAGACAATAATTATTTGCTTAGCAAACGCCTACTAAACCTGACTGAGTTGTAATGGCTTACTCTTTAAACCCTCTGTGCAGCTGTGGTTTTACTTGGAAGTAGGAGACACTGAGGTAAGCGCCTCTTCTTAGAGTTCAGGTAGCTAAACTAAGAGATCTGTCCCAGAGACAACTGGATTAGCATGGCAACAGTCTTCTCTCTAGTGCTTGGAGAAGAGATGATGAATCAAAGTCTGTTCTTATTACAGTACCTCCCAGTTCCTTCACATTCAGTATCACATTTTCGAATGGCACTGCCTTGATGCTGAAACCTGCGGAAGAAAACGCTCATGTTAAATTTCATAAACTTATGAATCATATTACTTTATAGCAAAAAGAAAAAAATCCAAGAATCTAAGTTTCAAATGATATGAGGTTGCATTAATAATGACATGGGACTAAATCTAGACATGTATATGAGTGGTTTCTATGGAAGCCTGTTTCCGCCACTGAATACAAAATTAAAAAGGTAATTGCGACTATTTATCTCACAATTCTGACTTTTTTTCTCGCAATTTAGACTGTACATCTCGCAATTCTGACTTTCTCAGAATTGCCTGATACAAACTCGCAATTCTGATCTTTCCTCAGAATTGTGAGAAATGAAGTCAGAATTGCGAGATATAAACGGGCAATTCTGACTTTTTTCTCAGAATTGCGTAAGATAAACTCGCAATTGTGAGTTATAAAGTCAGAATTGTGAGATATAAACGGGCAATTCTGAGAAATTAAGTCAGAATTGTGTGACAAACTCGTAATTGCGAGTTAAGTCAGAATTCTGAGTTATAAGCTCGCAGGTCTTTTTTCTCCTCAGAACTGTACTTTATAAGACTTTATACATTTTAATATGAGAAAAAAAGTCAGAATTGCGAGGAAAAAAATGATAAATTAAAAAAAATTATACATTTTTTTCTGACCATAACAACCAGACAAAAAGTTAAACGTGAGTGGATACCGTTTTGCAACCAATTTATTTGGAATGTTCGCTAACATTAAAGGATGCAAGACATACTTAGCCTATTGTTTTTACATCAAACTGAATTAAAATGGCTTAACCTATAAGAACGACTTGTGGATTGATGTGAACGGCAACAGGAATAATGCTCAGAATGATTGTGAATTAAACATCTCCGATGGCGTATATTGCAATGGATTTTATCGAGTTACAAGAAAAGGTAGGAAAAGGATTTAATTGCAAACAGTTATTCAGTTAGTCACGGCATTTGAGTCCTCACACGTGCAGAAGTGGGCAGCCCCAGACTGACAGCTGGCACGGAGTGAATAATATGCATTATAAAAAGGAAAATAAAAAAACCTTTAACAATTATTTATAATTAATTATTGTTGCCAAGTTATCTAGTCGTTGCTTGTTTACAGTGCTTTGTTATATGGAGCAGTTTGTTAGATCGCGATCTATCTAATTTGTTTGTCTAATGAAGTGGCGAGAGATGTATGTATGAAAGTACATAAGTCACACCGTAATTTAAATGCGGCAAACTTTAATGGACAGTAAAACAAAGGAAGAATACCGTATAACTCCAGGCTGGCACAGTATTGATGAATGGCTAAACAAATGCCCGTAACCGTAACTTAATTTGAGCATTCCAAAACAAAGTCAAAGAGCGGTAACTGATGTTATACTGTGTTCTGCCTTGGTTTCTCTGGGGCTTTTCTCCAAGATACTTATACACATGATAAAGAAGGTCATGAATGTCCCAAAATTATCAATAACTAATTTTCGACCAAAAACAAAGTTATGGTGTTTTGTCTTTGCACGGCAGTCACTATAGACGGGTGTGGTTTCAGCAACCAGGCACCTCAGCTTCACCCATGTCCCACCTTTTTGCCCATTTTCGATTATCTGGGAGTGACGCGCGGTGACGCACTGCCAAGATGGCGGCGGTCGGCTCCGCCCACTTTAGGCTTCAAAAATGCTCTTCAGAAACCTACGAGTGACGTCCCGACGTCCATGTTTTTTTACAGTCTATGTTTGGGCAATGGGCATGAGGTTTCTGACTGACATTAACACAACAGATGTCATGTCAAAGTGATTGTCTTTTGTGTTTAGTGTCTCACCAATGCGTGCAGAGGCAAACAGGGCAGCCATTTGGTACTGATTAACACAACTGAAAAAAAATGTGTGACTGAACCTTCGAAGTCCACATTAATTCAAAGCTTCATGTTCATAAGGCAAGTTTCATCAAATGCTCCACAGGTGAGAGTAAATATGTCATGAGCAGGTGAGACGCTCCATCTAGGCCTGTTCTTACAGACGAACCATATTTCCATAACAGGCTGCCAAATAACACTTCGCTTTTGTAATTACTGCTTCACTAGACAGCTCAAGACAGGTGTTTGCGCCAAAGACAAAGGTCGATCATCATTGGATGCACATTCCGGGTTTGTGTATTGTCTAGCATGCTGTATACATCACACTCCGATTGTTGAGATGTGCCGAAGAAAGCCTGACACAATTGTGTCTTCTCTTGTGAAAAGAACCATTTGTGTTGTTAGTAAAAATTATGTCATCCATCTTGAGAGGTGAAGATAATCATGAATACACCAGCCTGTCACCAAGAGCTTTAATTAAATCAACACTCTTGTCACAAGGAAGAAAGTCTGTGTGACAAAACCCAGATGTTCTCAAAAAAGACATATATGCCCAAGGACCTCAACCGCAAGTGCACTCTTTCTTTGGTAAAGTACCGTAGTGTTTAAAAGGAGGCTCTGAGGTAACCTGCAGCAATAACGTTAAACAGCTTTCAGTACTCGGAGAGGCTGAAAAGCACATGGTGACAATGAAGAGATTTTGCAGACGTTCCAGAGCGCTGGGAAAGTGTAGTGCCGGAGATATGATATATGTACTGAGTACAAGTGTGGCGGTTTAGGCAAACGCACTGCAAAAATAGTGTGCTAAGTCGATTTGTTGGAATGACGTGTCACATTTGTTTGCGAAACGGGAGCTGGGGTTTATATTACTTGTAAATGCTTCTATTAAGTCTTTTTAGGAGTCAGGGCTAAATATGTGATTTGTTTATCATTTTTGTCCCATTAAATAGCATGTCTTGTTGGTTGAAAAAATGCTGCAGTATAAAGCTGCGGAGAAATGTTATATTACCTGTGGTTGGTACCGTGCCATCACTGATCTCATTGCACAAGCGAGATAGCAGACTGGTCTTGCCGGCACCGCTCAGTCCAATGCACATAACATCATACTCCGGTCTAGGTGGATGAGGGGCCTTACAGCACAACTTCTGGAGACACTAATAATAATAATTTTTAAAAAAACACAGAAAAGACAAACATGGTTAGTGACTATGAGTGGTTTCACTTTTCACTAACATGCTGATAACGCTAAAATGAACAATTTAAGCATGTTTGCCAAAGAAGACAGTCTGAAAATAAACTGAGGAGCATGAGCTGACAAATGCTAATGAAGTTCCAAAGAAAGACATCTGGCTGATGCCGATAAACTAATGTGGTGATCTGAAAGCAACACATCTGGAGGAGAACTCCTGAACTCACAATGAAATGACTTCATTGACAAAATGGGACATGAAATTCACCACACAACTGCTTTCTCAGTGACCGCATTTACGAGTGTTCCTTCAACTTTGGCCACTTTTATGTCCCAGAGTGCATTTTTATTAAAACGGTTTTGTTATATGAAGATCACATTAAAGCGTTGTTGGAAACTTTTGCTGCTTTTTTAAAATTATTTTTTTGTGAAAATTGTTTTACTCTTGTAGCTTACCTACACGTGAAAAAAAAATATTTTGTGTAAAAATAACATCAACATCAATCAAACTTTTGACTGTACCAGTTATGAAGTCATTTCCACCTCAATGAACAATTCTGCTGTTTCAAAAGTGAGTGTATACTTGTTTAACAAGGAGAAAACAGTATCAGTGAAAAACATGCTTGAGATGAAATACAAGAATTGAATAAAAAAAAAATTCAAAATCATCTGGGGATCACACTTAAGCCACTAGAATAGTGGAAAAGGTGTTTACATATGGAGCAAAATTGGGGTAACGGACAAAAATCTCAGATAGCCAATAGAGTTTTGCTTAAATTATTGATGACCTTTACCTGATAAAAGAATAACATTTATGGTGTTTACAAGCCCTTACAGGTTGTATGAAGGTTATTAAACATAACTGGTTTGAGTTTGTGCATCTAAACAAACAAGATGATTTATTTACTGCCTCTCCTGCACTAATGTGGCTGAGACATCCTTTCCTATTGCTTGATATTAGGGGAGGCTTTATTGTAGAATTTGCTTGCCCTAACATGTAAAATAGACTGTTACCAGACAGTCTAACCCAGTCTGTGTCTGTTTATGGGGGAGGGTGTGGAAAAGAGAGAGAGGCAGGATTCTGAGAGCTTGTGTCCTCATGGCAGCAGACAGACCTGTCACTTTATGAATCACTGTCTTTGACTGGAGGCCTGCTGGGAGACATTAGAAGGCAAATGCAGTGTGAACCGTGAATGGGATGGTTTAAGCCGGTGTGGAGAGATCAGTATACAGAACTAAAAAGAGATATCTTTTATTAGCACGACAGAACTAGTCTGGGCCAGGCAGGGCTTGATTCTGCCCTTCACCTCTGGATTATTTAATTCCACATGGAAACATACTCGCCGTGGTCTCCATTTAAAGAGCAGTTTGTTTCTAAAATAGACAAATATTACGTCAGAAGAATGTTCACTTGGAATGTGAATGTACATTTTATGCATTCCCATTAGGCAAAATTATATCCGACCAAATATATTTTACATATATGCTAAATATATTTTGTAAACAGTGTGGATTAAGTAAATATATTTGTATTGAAATATATTTCCTTTATGAAGTGCAGTATTTTGTGATTTATGTTTATTGTAATTCAAGTGGCACTAAAATACAAGTCCAATCTTAAAATACATTTAAAATGTATTTGGGACAATCTAAATGTATTTGGATTGGAAGTATATAAAAGACAAATGAGGAAATATAACTTATAACCAAAATTATCAGAAAACAGATTTATGTAAATGTACTTTAATAATTTATAAAAGCAATATTTTTGGCAATTTTTGGATATTCTGGAATATAGCAGAAGTGTTGTTGGTCAAACATCTAAAATCTGCCACAGAGCCCCATCTTCTAACATTACAGCTCACTCATGTATTATGTAATTCTTCCTGAATCCTAATAGGGACGGCAAAGGCTTGTAGGCAAACAAATGTGTCATTTGCTCTGGTGTTCTTCCATCACTAAAAGCCTAAATGGCTTTCACAGGCCCTTCACAGGAACAGCCACAGAGGCCGTCCTACGTAGCTGCTCGGCCGCACATGCTTCTGCTTTGTCACACAGCAACCTGGACATCTGGTTCTGTAAGAGGCTGATGAATTTACCCTATTCACCCCACCTTCACTTACAGTGCTCAGATAGGATGATAAATTTACATCAGTTGCTGAAGGCACATCCTGGAGCTTTGACCCCACAGCCCATCAGGGCTCCCACAGGAGCACAGGGCCACACACTTCAGCGCCCCATGTTGCTGCAGGAGAGCAAAATGAAGGATTTCCCAGGTGTCCGAGAAGTCCCATTTCAAACAACTGTTTGGTCAGGATTTTTCTCATGCCAGTGAGGCAGGTTGAAACGGAGACACTGCTGCCAAAAAGGGTTTCTATATGTCAAGAAATGCTCACTCTTGATTGATTCTTTTGGCTCGCGTCATATTGGACGCATTTTAATTGTTCGAGAGCCTCGAGACATTACCTCACCGATGTTGGGGCAGTTGTAAAAGCTGATTAACTGCTTTTTATGTAAATGAAGATGTTTGAAGGTATAAATATTCCAGACTGACAGCAGCTGTGACACGGCAGCGGCACATTTTCAGATGAAATGTTTCGCTAAAAGCTACACAAAAAAAACTCTCAGGCCCCCTTATCCCACCCAGCTTTCTATTTAAAAAAGATGTCAAGACATCAAACGGCTGATGTAATTAAACGGTCTGGCTGAGATCCAGGCCCTGGCACCAAAACAAAGATACGACAGCACTAGAATCCAGCATGGCAGACAGGAGAACACAGCTGGGCCAAATCCACTCAGCATTACCACAATATTGAATCTTCAGCCCTTATGGAAGCAACACAGAACAATACGCCACTGCAAAAACAACTCCCCGCCTGCCAACTTCTCCTGAATAGACCCTTCGGCTGAGTGAAGGGGACCCTGTCTGCTCCCTGCAATAAAGAAAAACAGTCTTCTGACTTCCATCATGAGAAAAGTAACACGCACTGCACTCTGCCGCTCTGGAGCAGAGTGAACAGCAGTGACAACAGAGATCGCTCTGCGGGGTTATTGGCCAAATGCTTCATTCTTACAGACACATATTGTATGGAGATACTATTGGTTGGGGGGGTTGGAGGGTCCGTCTGTCCCCCGGACATGCGATGGCCAGCCGTTGCTCACTTGTCTGTTCTATTTTAAATGACAGCTTTGTATTTTTAGAGCCAATAAATGAGGGGGCGAGAGCAAGGGAAGCACCACACAGACAGACAGGCCTCACATTTCACTCATTTGCCCTCTGAGAGTGTGGAGACGGAGCAGACGTCTGCTATTGAAGCGTCAGGCAGTGATGCCATCCTGTTTGCCCCACCTGCACCTCTGTGCATCGCCCATCGCCATGGCTTTGACAGTGACACTGTTTGGCACTTCAAAGGATTTCTACATTCCTGCACCTCAAAAAAGAAATGACAATTCTGTTATTTACTTAGCCTTATACTGTTATTGTTTTAAGACTGTACATTATAATGTTCTAATTCACTTGAAGCAATTAACAATTTTATTTAGACAAAACAGAATATTGAATTTCAATATCAGGCTTTTAGCAGTGTCAGTATACGTGAAAATAATTATCTGCTTATCGGTATCATAAAGCTATCGACTACAGTACAAATGTAGACCGCACAAGTTTCACATTTCCTTTCATTGTGAGTTCTGCACTGAATGAAATCCATCTGACTTGTTTGTTAATGGTGAGGATGTCAGTAACTAGTACTACTAGCAGTAATGCCTCACATCTTTTGCGGTGAATGGAGAATGTAATTTGGGCTGAGGTACTGAATTCAGCACAAACCTGAGCCAACAAGAATCTCCTTTCCAAAGCCACATGCATCAGGTTCATCTTTCACTGATCGGGAGGGTGTGTCTCTGGAAGTGAAGACATAGATCATCTTCTGCATTCAATAGATGGCACGCTGAAGTAAGCCCTTCTTTGCCTGATCAGCGTATTCCATCTTGCTATTAATTCAGGGTGTGGAAGTAACCTACACTAGATATAACAGCACATTGGAAAATTATTAGCCAAAATTGTGCCAGCAATGAACAACAAATATAAAAAAATGCCTCGCTGTAATCAATCACAGCAAAGCGCCAAACAGCTCCAGGTCATGCCGAAACAAGTCCATAATGAACAACATCTGACAAAAATAGCACTGCAGAGTGGAAAATATTGCTGTAAAATTAGCGCAGGTCCACATTCACTTCAGGACATCATATTTCACCATCTAAAAGCAGCCTTATTATGCAAAATGTGCTAAATGCAATATAGCATGATGTGTAATAACTTGGCAACTAAACAGCAATACCAACAGCACAACCCTCATGACATCTGGAGAATGACTTGTTTACTGATTTTATTTATTGTTTTTACCGCTATCTTGTAATTGTGATTTTATATCTCAAAGCTATCTGTTTTTCGTTACTGCTGCTATATCATATTATTGTGACAACTAGTAATTTTGACTTTCTCTCTCAAAAATAACTATTGCTCGTAATGGTGAATGTATCTCAGAATTGATTTTCTCATAATTGCTACTCTACTTCTCGTAATTGCAACTGTCTTGTAATTGCAACTGTATATTTTTAATATGTCACAATTACCACTTTTACATTTTACTTGGTAAAGGAATTCCATATAAGAGACCCTGATGGTTTTTATGTACATATAAAATTAGCTTATTATTCCCTTCACATTTTGACATGTTTTTGACTAAACAACTGGCAGGATGTACTACCACAATATGTAAACCAAAAAGAAAATCTTAGCATTTAGCCTATTGCATTTATTCCTGATTCATATTTAGACCACAGACTCAATTAATGTAACATTTTATGAAGGAATTACCAGGTTAAAATGTGGTTTATAATCAATTCTCATAAGATCCTTAAAAAGTATGAATCTGAAAGAATGTAGAGAAGTCATTACAAGGG